TAATGGACCATAGCTACTATAGCTTCCACCAGACTGAGTCCAGTACAGCTAGATGGTGCCCGGCTACCATCAGTGACGGCTCTCATCAGGATCACAACAGAGGGTCTGGACAGGGCTGGAAAAGGATGTAGAACAAAATTCTAACTCACAAAAAAAGACCAGATTTACTGGCCTGAAAGACGGGAGAAACCCCGAGAGTATGGCCCCCGGACACCTTTACAGCTCAGTGGTGAAGTCACTCCCGAGGTTCACCATTCAGCCGGGGAGTGGACAGCCCCATAAAACAAAACGGGACTAATGAGGCACAGCAGTCCAGGGACAAGGACTAGTAGGCAGGAGGGGACAAGAAAGCTGGTGATAGGGAACCCAAGGTTGAGAAGGGACAGTGTTGACATGTCGTGGGGTTGTTAACCATTGTCATAGGGCAATATGTTAACTGTTCAATGAGAAACTATTTGTTCTGCAAACCTTCATCTAAAGTACAAAAAAAAATTATCTGTGAGATCAAATTGACAACAGCAACTCAAAAGGTTTGATGGGAAGCCTAGGGGGCAGTGAGTTGAAGATAATGGTGATGGAATAATTTGGAAAAGGATAGTGAAAATAGCAGCACAACTGGAAGAAGGTAACAGATGTCACTGAATTGTACATGTAGAAACTTCTGAAATAGAGTAACTTTGGCTACATATATTTTCACTAAAAAAAAGTCCTCTAAGGTCGAGAAGGGAGGGCGTTGACATGTCATGGGGTTGTTAACCAATATCATAAAACAATATGTGTACTGACTGTTTAATAGGAAACTATTTGTTCTGTAAACCTTTATCTAAAGTACAATATAAAAAAAATTATACTAAAAAAAAAACCCACTGCCGATAAGTTAATTTCAACTCATAGCGCCTTATAGGACAGAGTAGAATTGCCCCATAGGGTTTCCAATGAGCAGCTGGTGGATTCGAACTGCTGACCTTTTGGTCAGCAGCCACTGTGCCACCAGGGCTCCTTTATATAAATAATATGTATTTATGTGTAAGTGCACGTGTGTGCATATGTGCATATGTACACACACGTGTGCGTGTAGTGAGGAGACGGGAATAACAGGGTGGCGGCAGGGGTGGGAAGAGAACTTATCACTGTCTCTCTCTTTATACTTTGGTTTTGTAACTCGGCTATTTTGGCAGATGAGGAATTCTCATTCTATTTTCCTGCCTGCACTGCCTTGCTTCTACACTCCACACATCGACACACAGAACGACCCAGAAGTAATGTGTGGCTGGTACACTTTCACTGTATTTGACAAAGGACTTTCTCCTGCTCTTGCAAAAGTGAACCTACATTTTGAGCACCTACACCACCAGCACAAATGCCACCTGTGTCTGCAAGCTGCCAGGACCTAGGTGGGCTCCCACAGCACTGGGAACCCAACGCAGAGCAGACATCTGCTAAGCACCCACTATGTGCTAGGCACCAAGTGGGCAGGGGCATGAGACCCAAGATAAGAAGAACAAGGTACCTGCCTTCAGTGAGCACACAGCCTCAAGGGGGGACAGAAGGGGAAACCGCTAATTCCCAAACGATATGGTTCAAGTGTACGCCTACACAGTTTACCACATTGTTTTTCCACTTTTTTCCTGTCTCTTCCCACACCTCCGGGAGGTGAGAGCCCCTGGAGTTGGCACAAGGTCTGCATTTAGGTGGCATCCCCTGTGCCAAGCATGGCATCAGCTGAACTTCATAAGCGTCTCCTGGACAACAATGCAATGGTATTCTAAGGAACAGCATGTGTATTTCTTAATGTTTCAGAATTGTGATTGATACACTGTCCAGCTATTAACCCGGACCTTTGTAGTAAAATCCTAGAGCTTCAGGGCCAAAAAACATGTTTAAACTCAGAAGCCCTGTGATCTATTAGTCCTCACCATGTCGTTTTGGCTTTGAGTCCATACAGGGGGAAAAATTATGAAAACTAAGGCTGTTTCTCTTCCTGAAAATCAATACACTCTGCTTGTTTTTACTGGTAAGACTGAAAACTTTCACCCAGTAACTCTGAATTTCAACGCACAGGTATGAGTCAGAACTGACTCAACGGCCCCGAACAGCAGCACCACCACCGCCCGTGGGTAGTAACTTCTTGCAATTTTCAAGAAAATAGTATTCTCAGTTTGACACAGGTTTACTAGTACTCGTTTAAGGACCTCTTACACTTCAAACCCTTGGACTTTTAGGGAAGAATAATAACAATAATCTCAGTATTCTAGTCATCCACCCACTCTCTGCTGTTAGTTCTATCCCAAATCAAATAACAGAAATGAATTGCAAATACAGGTATCCCCAGCTTTTCGAAAGTTCACCTTACGCCACTTCACTTTTACAAAGACTTACATTAGTACCTGTTTTCGCTAACCCAAAGAAATCTGAAGAGGATTTTCGCTTTTACAAAAAAAGGCGAAAAGCAGAAATAGTGTTCAGTGTTTTGTAGCAAGCCATTAAAAATAGTAACCCACATCCAGTTTTACGCCAAGTGTAACACCTTACCAGCTCCCCAAGCAGCAAAAGTGGCGTCTCCAAGCTCCTTCCCAGAGAACTACAGTCAGCGTCTCAGCATCAAATCGCCAGGGTGAGCATCTGTGCTTTATCTCCATTTATTTTGTGCATCCATTATCAAGATATGTTCTAAGGTATCAGAAAAGCCTAGAAGAGCTCGTAAGGTTGTCACACTTAGCATAAACCTGGATGTGGGTTAGTTTTTTGATCTGGGAACACTCAAAATTTTTTCCCATATAGACAAATGGTAATTGCTTCTTCGCTTCACGCCATTTCGGCTTATGAAACGTTTCATAGGAACCCTCTGCTTTCGGATAACGGGAGAAACCTGTGTAACAGGAAGCAGTGTTGCAATTAACCAACCAAGAGCCCAAGGGAGCAACTGTTTCTATTTTTAAATGCACTGTTGCTTTAAGGGAAACCCCGGTGGAGAAATATGAAACCAAGCTGCATAATGAAAATCCAAATGCATTTGATGGCTTCATCCTTGCAAAGACAGTAATCCTAATCTACAAACACACTGCCGTGTTGTTTCCACTCAGTTTGACCAGGACACAAGGAGAATTCCACATAAAGGACCCAGTCCACCTTCCAAGAAAGAGATTTGCCAGGAGAACAGAACAAGAGAACACCCGTATTTCAGTACTATTCTTGTAGCTCTAGAAAAGGGACTATTCCAACAACGAGGAAGATGGATAAACCCCCAAAATCAGCCTCCAAGTCTGTACTTAAAAGAGCCTACTTAATAACTACAGTGGCAGCCCTAAAAATGATCAACTGATTATTTAGCATTTCTAACCAACTGTCCAGTTATAACTGCTATCCAAATTCCACAAAATTAAATCTGTTTCTTTCCACCAATGACAAAGCTTCATTTCATTCACTAGTAACCAAGAGTAGCACTCCTGGGGAAGAGTGACAAGGGGCAGGTGCCAAATCCGCCAGGAAAGGACCCCATCAGACGCAACAGCCAAACAGCCGGAGTGAAAACATTCTACCTGTTTCCTAGACTGTTTTGAAGAATCTGACCCAGCAGAATTTTTTTTCTGAAACCATATAATGATACCCAGTTTTGGTGGGAAAAACTTTGGTGAGGTGTGTATCTAAACTAATTTGTAAATATTTTAATTTACATAAAGAGTTAACTATTACTATGAAATACACAGCTACACTTCAATAAATGTATCTAAAAATAATATTAGAAATGTATTTAAAAACACTGTCCAAGGATACATCCATTACTGAGAAGTATCTAACACAACATTTTAAATACAACTTAGTTATTTAATATCACCACAAGACAATCATAGGCAGTAAAACGTTTGTAAACGGGGTAAAAATTGCCAGGCTGGGCACAAAAAAGCAATGAATCCTCAATCAAGGACACTTATCTCCTCGTAATTTCTTTCCCCAAAATTAGCTAAACTATGCCTGAAACCACATGATTACAGAAAGCTGGCAGTGCCGCCATTCGCAACAACCCCTACTTCAAGATTTTTCAGTGAAAATCTCTGAAGAGCAAAATGCCCTAACACAGCGCATCAATCCACAGGTAACTGTTAGAAACACACTGACACTCACTTTCAAGACAAATTAGTTTTTAAAAACCTCCCTTTTTTCTTTTATATTTTTACAAACTACTGCCTTGCTGTACTGAATGAATTCCAAGTTTTCTTCTCAGGGGCTTACCAGAAAAATGCCAAATATTCCGATTATTTTCGGGCATTTTCCCATACTGCTGCACGGAACAGGGCAGAATTAATAAGGATCCAACAGTTACCACTTTTCAAATGCAAATATGTTGCCATCAAGTAAATGCAGCCTCCTTTTACACATCCCCCCAGTGTCTACACAGTTCAGGGCACTACTTTTGTTTCCCTGAAAATCAAAATTCCCACATTACGTTCAGACATTATCTCAACTCAGCACCAACAACAAAACAGGTTTTAAATGGTCCAGGCCTGAGCCTGCATCATACAAGCCTGTTTTGCTTTACTGTGTTTTTTTCCCCCCATTTTACACACTAAGTCCCTAAGCAATTCTGCCAAAGGAAGCAAACAGTGCAGGGGTGGAAAGAATGAGGGGCACTGGGTTCCCCAACATAAGGCCTTGGGCCGGCGACTTGCCCGCCTCGGCCTCAGTTTTCTTATCTGTAGAATGCGCCCGCTGGTTCCATGTGGCCCTTACTCTAGGTGAAGCCCGCCGAGGGCACAGCGGATGGGCACCATCTAGACTCGGGCGGGCTGTGGGCAGGGTGCCCGGCCAGATGCCGCTCTAGATGGGCGGGCAGAAGCGGGGGAGGGTGGACAGAAGGAGGAGAGGAACTTGGACTTGCAACAGCTTCAGACAGGAGCGTGCGACAAACTTGAAGGCGCCCTCCGAACAATAGAAAAGAACACTGCTATTTTCCTGGCTCCAACTTGCAGGACCTTGTCCCCTCCCTGTCTGCACCGGGTTACCTTTCTCCCTGTTTGGTGTTAGAAGGAGGAGGGTGCAGGACCGTTTGATTCCCTTCCATCTCTACCACGCACTTGGTGTTCAATTCCAGTTCTGAAAGCAGAAGGACAAACGAACGTTGCAAAGTCGAGCATCCGTCCTCCAGCCGCCCGGGCGCGCCGCGCTCTGCGCTCTCCCGGGAGGCGGCCGAGCCGGGAGCCGGTGCGCCGGGCGGCCCGGGGCTCCGGGGCGAGCGCGGGGGCTGCCTCCGCCCGGCTCCCGGCCCCGGCTTCCCTCCCGCCGGCCCGGCCCGCGCCCCACCTCGCGTCCGCGCGCCCTCGCAGCTGCCAAAGTTGCCCCCGCCCTCAGCCCCACCAGAAATGAAAACGAGTGGAAAGCGGCTCACCTCGTCGGTTCATGGGCCGGACCCGGACGGCAACTTTTACCTTGGTATCCGACATGTTGCCGGCGCTCGCCGGGCCGCTCGCCGCGCCC